GGCGTATTCTGGGGGCCTCTGGGGGCTTCCTCGGGCCACCCTGCCTCCAACCGCGGTCTCCCTGAACGACCAGGTCACGATTTGGAATGCTTTGGATGGTGTCTTGGGGCCATCTTGGGCCGCCATGGGGCTCTCTGAGGGCCATCTTGGATCCGTGTTGTGCCGTTTTGGGGCTCTTGGATTAGCCCTTTCGGATGGTTGTGGGGCGATTTTGGGGCCTCCCAGGCGGCTCCGGACGCCCAGAAGACCGCCGTCTTGGAGCGTCGGGAAGCCGAAGAGGAGAACCCCAAACTATACCAAAAACCAACAGAATATCACAAGTTTTTGCCTCTTAGGGTCTTCTTGGGCGTGCTCTTGGAGGCCTCTTTGGGGCCGTCCTGGAGGCCATATGTATATGTATTCGTATATGTATATGTATATGTATATGTATTTGTATATGTATATGTATATGTATTTGTATATGTATATGTATATATATTTGTATATGTATATGTATGTGTATGTGTATTTGTATATGTATATGTATATGTATATGTATATGGATATGGATATGGACATGGATATGGGTATGGGTATGGGTATGGGTATGGATATGGATATGGATATGGATATGGGTATGGATATGGATCTGGATATGTATCTGTATATGTGTTTGTATATGAATTTGTATATGTATGTATGTATGCATGCATGCATGCATGCATGTATGCATGTATGTATGTATGTATGTATGAATATACATATGTGTGTATGTACCTCCGATACGACCACCCTTCGGGTGATAAGGAGTTTGTGGGGGGGGGAACGGGGTGGGGAACCAACATCTGATTCAATCGATCTCACTATCGATCTCACTCAACGGGACACCACGGGACACCGCGGGACATTTGTCGATCTCACTATCGATCTCACTATCGATTTCATTCAACAGGACACCACGCGACACCACGGGCCACCACGGGACACCACGGGACACCGCGGGACACCTCCCGATCTCACTATCGGTCTCACTATCGATCTCACTATCGATCTCACTCAGCGGGACACCGTAGGACACCACGGGACACCTCGGGACACCACATCGATCTGACTATCGATCTCACGATCGATCTCACTATCGATCTCACTCAACGGGACACCACGGGACACCTTGGGACACCTGTCGATCTCACTATCGATCTCACTATCGATCTGACTCAGCGGGACACCACGGGACACCTCGGAGCACCACGTCGATGTCAGTGTCGATCTCACTATCGATCTCACTCAACGGGACACCACGGGACACCACGGGACACCACGGGACACCACGGGACACTTGTCGATCTCAGTATCGATTTCACTATCGATCTCACTCAACGGGACACCACGGGACACCACGGGACACCTCGGGGCACTACATCGATCTCAGTATCGATTTCACTATCGATCTCACGATGGATCTCACTCAACGGGACACCACGGGACACCACGGGACACCACGGGACACCGGCGGGACACTGCGGAGCACTGACCGCAGGAGGAGTTACATTTGGTCCGGCCGCGGCCCAGCCACAGGAGGATTTCGGGACTCGGGCGGGACACCGGCGGGACACCGCGGGGCACCGGTCGCCAGAGGAGTTACATTTGGTCTGGCCGCGGCCCAGTCACAGGAGGAGCTCCTCTCGCCCGCACATGCAGCTTCGCCTCGCCCGCACGCGCGCACGGCACGCATGACACGAACCCGAAACCGAAATCAATTTCCCGGTACGGGGGGTCTCCGTTTCACGTCGGACTCACCCCCCAGCCTCCAATCCGCCACCGTGCCCGTGGACTTCGTTCATTACAGCAGCTGTTCTTCAGACTTTGTTTTGGCATAGAGTCATATCAATACACATACATAATATATATATATACATACATATGTATATATGTATATATGTATATGTATATGTATATGTATATGTATATATATATATATGTATATATCCTTATATATGTATGGTTAGGTGTATACATGTTTATGTATGTATCTACACATATCAGTATAGACGTATCTATGCATGTGTTATATTTCTATAGAAACAAGGCTTTCGGCCCATCCGCCGCCGTGCCTGGGTTACGGGTCAGAGTTCTCAGGGAGGCTTCTTGGGTTCTCTCTGGAGCGCTCTCGGCCTCTTGGGTGCTGTTTTAGGGCCTCTTGGGGGCCTCTCGGAGGCTTCTTCGGGGCCTCTTGGGGCCTCTTGGGGGCCTCTTGGGGCCTCTTGGGGGCCTCTTGGGTGCTTCTTTGGGCCTCCTGTAGCCCCCTCGGGGCCGAGGGCTCGAAGTGTCCGTTCGGGTCTCCCATCTGGGCCCTCCTCTTGGAGCCGTCTTTGGGGCCTCTTGGGCTGTCCGGGCGCATCTTGCGGCCCTCTCGAGACTCTTGGGCCGTCTTGGGGGCCCTCTTGGAGGCCTCTTGGGCCGTCTTGGGGCGGTTCCGGCCCCCAGGGCAGTCAGGGAGCGTTGGGAAACCAAAAGGCGA